AAATTGATTTATATTAGGCAAAATCCATAATTTATTTGTAACATTGTGATACGAGTTAGAGAAAATAATTAAGATCTTATCTGTTTCATTCTATTTTATTAAAATGAGCAACAGTCACACTGAAGGTTAAATGAAAAATAAATTTAGTCAAAGATGATAAACAACTAGAGAAGATATAGGTTTCTGTTCCGCCTAGTTAAGTTATGATGATCATAATTAATCTTTAGGAGGAAATCTAGAAAACTCCACATCCCCTACTACATGTCATTTAAACATTTTTGACGGAAGTCCTTTAAAATATCTTTCAAAATCAATAATAATAAAAACGATAAATATTTGAAATTGTTTCTTTTTAACATAATAAAATAATATGTTATAATAATAATTCTGTGTCTAATATATTTCCCAAATAAAAATACCTGCAAATTTTTATATGGTATTATTTACTTAATTTTTAAATAAGAATTAATAAAAAAAATTGTTATTAGTACTATAAAAATTCTTTATAAAAGTATTCGTCATTCGAAATTTTATGTACTATGTACTATTTAGTTTTAAAATTTATATTTAAATAATTTTTGAAGTGTACTCGTATTTATATTCGAATACATTTTTGTGAAAATTTACCCAACATTGCTTCAAATAAAGTTTAGAAGTATTAATTTAATTAAAATAATTTAATATGATATATAATAATACAAATACAGCAATTTTGAATAGATCTAGCTATGTAGAGGAAATTCCGAAAACACATGTAGTGTCTTAAGTTTTGGAGAAAATTGGTAGTATTTTTAGTTTTTAATTTATTTAAAATGGATTTTGGAACCAAAGTATCAGAATGAATTTAATATTGAAGGAAAAGTGGCAACACATTAGTAATTCCGCTTAAATGCCTCCCTCTATGCCAGGGAGTCATCGTGACGTCATCTGGAAGTTTATAAGGGAAAACCTGTTGGTTCAATCTGAATTGTAAAGCCAGGCTTATCGAGTGATTTAGCTATTGATGGTTCTACGTCAAAAGAAACGACCTGTAGAATAGAGCAAAGGTAGCTCATACTTTCATTATTTACTAGTAGTAGTGTTGTTAAACGGCTCATTTTGAGCCTATTTTTTAAAACAGCTAACTCAATATTTTAGCCAGGAAAATATTGCTTATACCTCGAGATTTCGATAATATATGCCTAGACCTTTGTTCCTTCCATGAACAAAATCTTCAGGCTTGTGTAATATTTTTTTTCTGAATGAAATATTGAGTTAGCCGTTTTTAAAAATCGGCTCAAAACGAGTCGTTTAACAACACTAACTGGTTGCAGAATGTTTATTTGCTAATCTTGTCAAATAATTTGTATTAGATATTTTCTTTATAAGGATATTTAATAATAAATTCCAATGATATGTTTGCTTAATTATTTGGCACAATTTTTAATTTTTGGAATCTTGAGCCTAGAAAATTTATGAAATAAATTAAATTAAAATACTTATATAATATTACTTGCAGATCAAATCGTAACGCAGATTTTTTAAACATATTTTTCTTAAGTGAAATAATTTCCGAGCTATAGTTATTATTTCTAATAAATGTGTTTTTATTTCACTTCTGAAAAGTAATGCCCTATTTTGTGAAGAAAGAAATTTACTGTTTCTTTAATTAAGGATCTTCTCTAATGATAATATATTACAACAGTGATGTTGACCAATAAAAATAAATAAAATATGACAATTATTTTATTTAAATTAACCGCCATTTATGAAAATTAGGCGCATAAAATTTTTTTTAATAATTTTCCTATTTTATACATTTTTTTAAAGTAAATATAGAGATTGAAAATCAAGAGGAAATGTCAAATACAAATTATTTGCCAAGTTTAGCAAATAAACAACAAACACAAATTATGATTTCACTTTAAGTGACTTAGAACAAGAAAGTTATATTTTCTAGGAAAATTTCATTCACGGGATATGGATGTTCAAAATATTTGAAGAGAAAAGGGGATCGAACATCAGAAACTTCCACGTTAGCTAAAAAATTCTTTGTGTTCCGGCAACTATAACACGTAGTGATAGGGGATTTTCTACAGCTAAGCAATGAATCCAAGAAAGGCATCCTTAAGTCTGACAAATATAAATAAAATTGTTTATAAACATGATAACTACAAAATTTTAAAATCGATTCTGAATTAATAATTAGTTTTAATAGGCCGATATATCTGTAGCATATATTTTATTTTTAATTTAATTTAGCTTTTTTTAAAAATCAATTAGCAATTTATAATATATATGATAAAAAATTTATGTCGGTGCGGCGATTTGCGCTGCTTAAGTTAAAGGCGGCTAGAAAGCGGTGAGCAGCAGGCCGCAGATTTAAAACGGATACTGGCCGTCGATTCGTCAGCGCACAGCTCTACCAATACCCAAAAAATATTATATGTAACAATTTGATGAAAAAGGTAGATATAATTTATCATTATAATTAATTTATGAAATGGAAAAGAAATTTTTTTTGCTTTCTTATTATTATTATTTATTTTTAATGGATAGGCGTAGGCCAATCTTTTTCAACCTTAACTAATAAGGTATTCTTGACATGAAAATAAAACTTGCTAGTGGCAGGATAGGTATGATTGCCATAATAAGGTATTTTTATAATATAAGTAACTTATAATTATAAAATATACAATGTTATTTTAAAGCGTATCAATATCGATTTATACTTATAAAAACTATGGATAATACACAATAATTTTTTTTAACAAGCAAGAGATAATACACAGCCGGTCAATAATTTTAAAACACTCATTTTGATAATAAATTTATAATTATATTAGAAAAATATTCATGTCTTTTGAAAATATGTAAAGTGCTAATTAGTAAGTTAAATAAACCAAACTAAATATTATATTCATTAAATCATAAAAATAATTGTGGTTATGCCTGCGAAAATAAGATTTCTATCATTTTTTTTATGGGGGAGACTAAAATATAAATAATTTGAATGATATTTATATTATTTATAAAAAAAATTGTAAATATTTCTTATGTATATTCTAGAAAAAAATATTGATAGATAGTAAGGAAGATAATACTTATATTTCATTAAGTATTTTATAAAATCGCTAAAAATGAAAATTTCTTAGATATTCTTAATAGGAATTCTCAATAGAAATTCAAATTGGGAATTTTTAAGATATATCGTGAATTTTGTTTCGAAATATTCTCATAAGAATTGCCTTACCTAATAGATCTGCTATATTATTCAGCGGGAGGCTATCAACATCATTATTAATATTATCTGAGATTTTCAAGAATACATAAGGAATATTCTTTTGAATTTCGCGTTTTCGATCTCATACAAAACAAACTTATAATATAATTATTTAGAAAATAACTAAATAAACTATTATAATCTTCTAATTAATATATTGTATAGAAATTATCATATTATATAATTATGATTTTGATTGGTACAATTTTTACCGTAAACAAATAAAATTTCTTTTTTCGTCTTCTTTTTTATCACTCACTTCACCACTACTTTTAAATGTAACGTTTATAATAAATTAAAAAAATATATATTTATCAATAATACATTTACATAATGTATATGTATAAATAATGTTTGCGTATTATTATTTTAATACATTAAGTTATTATAAAATGTTAAGAAAACTCGCTTGTCGTTTGTATATAAATTATAATTATATAAAAAAATAATAAATTATTTGTCGTTATCGGCTAATCGATATTTATTTTTAAATATTATATGCGTAATTTAATTAATATACAAGCTCATTATTGACTGCAAATATTTTAATTTGTTGAAGTTTAAAGATTTTATTTATTGACATATTTGTATAAGAAAATTTAAAAGCTTGCAATTATTAATATAATTTATAGCATAATATAAATCTATATATTATTTATGTTTGAGAAGAAAAGCTTAATATACCTTACCTTGTTTTTGTATATAAAAAAATAAATAAGTTATGATAGAATATTTAAAAAGTTGTGACCTGTTCTTTTTATTCATATTGATAGATTAAATTTTATTTTAGAAAGACTGAAATTATACTAACAAAATATGTCATGCTAAGTATATTACCATAGGCATAGCTTTAAATAGCTTGTATAAATTTCTTGGAGAACTCTAAGCTGGCCTTATGCAGGCCAATAGATTTTAAGTTGATTGTTCAGACATGTTGCATTCATTATTAACTTTGTATAAATTAAAGATATAAATGTACCTCATAAGCTAACTTTGCCCAGCCTATAATTTTCATAGCTAAAAATTTTACCCAGCCCACCAAATATACTCATTTTTCATTAAAATATTTTGATATATATATCAGAATGTGTTCAAATAACCATAAATTCTAAAGTATATTAAAACCTTTAAATGTCTGACCATACCATATTTAAATGTGATGGTCTATAAAGGAAGATTTTTGTTGGCCAAATTCTATGAAATTAAATACCATAAATCTGTTTATATAACCAAAAAACCCACAAAAGTGTTAATGTGAAAGTGTGCAATACCTATATAAATTGGTGCAAAATAATATAAAATAATATTAATTTTGACTACTTAGATCCTACTACTTAAGACAAGAATAATTTAATGATGGGCACCAAGGATATACCACCCCCCCTCCTTGACTTATAAATCGTGTTGTTAAAAAGCTCAATTATAATCAAAATATTGTTTTTTCTCATATATGATAGAAAGGTTTGGGCAACTACCAATATAGCGGCTTACATGTTATTTTGGCTAAAATCTTAAGGCCATTTTAAAAAATTGGGTTTTTTAACAAAACTAGTTAGAAGGTCCTGACTTAAGCACATTGTTTTTTAAAAAAATTAATAGCTTAAGCCATAAAGAAGTATACAAATTTATAAAATAATTATCTTATTAAACTTTATGAAATGTCATTAATTTAGCATCCAAATATAATATTTCATATATTTAAAATAATGTATTAGATTTATAATTAAAAATATTTTACCTGATAATCTTTGCCTATGCGTATTTCTCCAATATATGCGGCCATTTTAAATAAGAAGTTTAATAAGTATTATGGTATTTGCTTGAATGGAACATTTTCAATATATTTCTGCTGATTATAAAGACGAACCGAGGAGTCAATTAAACATTTATAACAACAAGGAAAAATATTTTTTAAACATTTGGTAATAATTATTTATTCAAATGAAATAAAACAATATAACTCTGAAACCAAGAGAAATAGAAATATTATATGATGCTAAGGAAGATATAATATTTTAGCAACTTTTTATTAAATATTAAAAACTCAGTTAATATTTTTATAAAATTAGTATTAATTTAATAACATATTATTTAATATAATATTTAATTCCTAATCGATTTTAGCAGAAATTAAAATTTAATCACTCTTGAGATTCATGGCGTGGAAATTACAATATCATATAACAATGTTAAAAGCCAGAATCGTGTTGATTTTAAAGGTCCGTACAAAATTACAACCAAAATAATATTATGTAAGTCTGGAGATTTCGCTCATAGATGCTGAAAAGTTTAGAAATCTATTTAACAAATAAGGAGGCTTAAATAATTTTATTTTGTCTAAAATTTTGATAGGGTCGTTTTTAAAAATCGACCCAAATTGAGCTTTTACACAATAATAATTTCGAAGACCATATTTGTTTGATATAAACCAAATACTCATAGAAATATGTTGCGTTATTCTAATTTCTTAATCTTATTATATTTTATAATCTAATTTTTTGTTATTTGTTATAATCTAATTTTATTTTATAAACGGCGTAACCTTACTTTTTTATATATTATTTTACTTTTTTGTATTTCGTTTTATATTCTAATTTATATTTTAGAAAATGTATATATACCTTTAGAAAAGAAAAAGAATGGAGTTAATAAAATATATTTTTTATTTAATAAAGTTAATATAACATATTTATTATTCACCGGCACATATTCATGTTATTCTACATGGTGCCTCCAGTTTTGGCAAAAGAAACTCGCCTTATGGAAATTTTTTTTTAAAAATAAAATTTTTTTTTCCCTTTGTAAATATGGTTAATAAAAAAAATTATAAAATGGTACAAATAATTCTATATAAGATGGATAAAAAAAGGGGTAAGTCATTTCAAAATTATTTTCATCAATTATGTTCGCCTTCAAACTACTTAATGTACCCCATCAAATCTCCATATACGATATTTTATTTGATTTAACCTATAATTGCGATGTCAACTTTTCTAGGATAAACGGTACGGAGGATGTGCTGTTTGAATTTATGAATTTAAGAGACATGATAAATTGCTTTGAATTATTAAACGGGAAACACTATATTTACGGCGATAGTGATTTCATTGAATTAATTTGTATATTCGTTAAATCATAAATAGTTATACCAAAACTTGAATTAATAAAATAATAAATGTTATAATTGCTTATTTATGTGTCTTATTAATTAAATATGGAAATTAAACAAGATTTTACAAATAAGATCCCTAAGTTAGTGGGTCCTCTTACTGAAATTTATTTAGACAGAATATTAAATTACTTTTCGACCAGTACATTATCGGACTCTATTAAAATTAATACTTTGCTTAATAATTTATCAGACGAAGTTTTTGACGACATTAAGGCAATTTGTTCTGATACCGATATTTTAGATCTTAAAATTGTGATTAAAAAGTTAACCTATCTTTTACCAGCGCTAAATTTAAATACTTTAATTAATAAATTTAATCTTCTTCAACAAAACTCATCAGAGAGTTTTATGCTGTGGTACATTAGAGTATCGAAACTTCATAAGAAATGTAATTTTTTGGACGATAGTAGATTAAAAGAGAAATTACGGACATCTACTTTAAACGATAAAATTAAATACAAATTCTCCAAAAATTTTGACCTTACATTGAATCAGATGGTGGAATTAGGGGTGAAACTGGACTCTAGTAATATTAAGTCTGAGGATAATGATATAAGTTATATAAATAATGACAAAAAGTCCGATAAAGATAAAAATTTTTGCAGTAGAAATGATAATAATTTTAGAAATAATTTTAGAAATAATTATGATAATAGATATAGAAATGGGAATTACAATAATAATTTTAGATACAATTATGGTAATAATAATTCGCGATACCACGATAATTATAACAATTATAACTATAACAATTATCGCTATAATAATAATAATCAATCGAATTATGGTAGAAATAATACATGGTATGATAATAATCAAAGAAAACAAATCCAATACGGTGACGGAAATCGTAACAATTACCAATCTTATTACAACAACTCAAATAATTATAGAGGTAATGATAATAATCAGACAAAGCAAATACAATATAATAACAACTCAAATAATTATAGAAGTGGCGACGAAAATAATAGAAAGCAAATACAATACAATAATGATTACAACATGAATATTGAGGAAATTATTGAAGAGAAAGTTGATTCTACAAAGAACAAAGATGATAATGATTTTAATGTCAACAATTTATCTGGTGACGTGATTAATGACAAAGATAACGCATTTATAACTACTGTAAAAGTGAACGATGTTGTTACTTGTAAGCAAGTGGACACTGGATCCAAATACACTATTATACCTCATGGTCTGGCTAAAAAAATTGGTATTAGAGATCTTAAGAAATCTGAGCTACAACTCACTGCTTATGACGGGAATTTAATCAAAATCATAGGAACTACTCAAGTTAAAGTGACTTATGATGGTATTTCGAAACATTTACAAGCGGTAGTGGTTGAATCAAGTAAAAATGCCTTGTTGGGACGTACGTGGATCAATGCTTTCAAAAATATTTTAAATAAATTTATAGCAAATATTGACACTAATTACGAAGATGAAATAAAAAAATTGATTAAAGAGTGTGAATCGAAATTAACTAATGGGCCAATCAACAAAGCAAGTGTCAAGTTACATTTAAGAAATGATGCCCAACCTAAAATTATACCGCCTAGACGTATTCCTTATTCAAAAATTAATCTTGTTAGTAATGAACTTAAAAAATGGATACATGATAAAATTATTGAGCCGGTGAATGATGTCCGATGGGCAAGTCCTGTTACCGCTGTCTACAAAGATGATGGGAGCATTAGGCTTTGCGCTGATTTTAAGGATACTGTAAACCCAGCTCTAGAAGACTTTAGATACCCTCTACCACGAATTAATGATCTAATTGCTAAACTTTCGGAAGGAAAGAAATTTACGAAAATTGACTTTAAAAATGCTTTCTTACAGATTCCAATTGATAAAAGTTGCAGAAATATTTTAACCATATCTACGCATAAGGGATATTACCAATTTACTAGACTTCCTTTTGGGCTTAAGACCTCATCTGCAATTTTTCAACAGATCATGGATCAAATCTTCGGTGACATTGATGACGTTATATTTTATATTGATGATTTACTTATAACTGGAAAAAACGATGAAGCCCACCTAAACAACATAAAAAAAGTATTTGATAGGATATCATCGTATGGGCTAATACCTAACTTTAATAAAAGTGTGTTCTTTAAAAGCAAAGTGATGTTCCTGGTTCATGATATTGACGCTAAGGGGATTCATGCTAATCACGACAAAATTGAAGCAATAATTAATATGCCAGAACCAAAATCAGCTGCTGAATTATCAACATTATTGGGAATGGCTGGCTACTATAGAAAATTTTTGAACAATTTTGCGGAAATTGCCGATCCTCTTTATAAGATTGTCAACAAAGAAAAATGGGCTTGGAACCTAGAACACTCTAAAAGTTTTAATGATCTAAAGAAGTTAATTAGTCTTCCACCTGCTTTGACATATTTTAACCCTGAATTACCTATAGGGATAGCCACTGACGCATCAAAATGTGGTTTAGGAGCTGTACTATTTCATATTGAAAAAGATGGTAAAGAAAAACCTATAGCTTTCGAGTCGAGAACTTTATTAAAATCTGAAATGAATTATACCAATATTGAGCGTGAGGCTCTCGCTATAATGTTTGCCATAAAGAGATTTCAGGAATATTTAATCGGCACAAAATTTACAATTATTACTGACCATAAGCCTCTAGTTCACATCTTCACCAAGGGTCTTAAGGATAATAGCACCATGTCGTTAAGACTCCAGAAGTGGAATATTACATTAGGAGGATATGATTTTAATATAAAGTATAAAGCCGGTAAATATAATGTTGTTCCTGATTGCCTTTCAAGATTACCACAAGAATGTCGTGATGAAACTATTGAAAATGTAACCATTATAAATGAATATGAGGATTTACCTATTAACTTTGATCAAATTCGTGATGAAACTTTGAAAGATACGGAATTAAAACAAGTCATAAATGATATTAATAACAACAGACCTATAATGAATAATATTTATAAAAACATTGAATTGGAATTAAGTATAATTAAAGATTGTCTTTACAAAAGCAATAAAATCATAATTCCGTCTAATATGAGAAAAACTATACTACAGTCATTACATGAAGGTCACTTGGGAGCAGAAAAAATCAAATCCTTAGCCAAAGATTACATGTGGTGGCCTGGTATAAATAATGATATCGTTATGGAAGTGAAAAGTTGTGACGATTGTAATATATATCACGATAATCCTATAAAGATTCAAAAACCATGGGTTTCGGCAACCAAACCGTTTGAAAGGATACATATAGATTATGCGGGTCCGTTTTTTACAAAAAATTGGTTGATAATAGTCGATGCCTACAGCAAATTTCCAATTATTATTCCTGTTAAAAATATTACGACTGATGTTACTTTAAAAGAAATCTTTAAAACTATTTCGCTATACGGAATACCTGAAACTATAGTTACTGATAACGGCACTAACTTTACGAGTAACGATTTTGAAAAATTTTGCAACAATTTTGGTATTAAACATGTGCTTACATCTGCTTATCACCAGCAATCCAATGGCCAGGTTGAACGCATGGTTAGAACGTTCAAAACACATATGAAAAGGAATATTAAAATAGACCCAGATATCGCACTTAGCAAATTTTTACTTAATTATAGAAATACGCGTAATGATACTACAGGAGTTACACCATCACAGAGAATGTTTAATCGAGATATTAGAATTAAATGGGACT